TCTGTTTCCCCTTAACTTTTTTAAATCAAGAAATAAGACATGCATGGACAGAGGCCCACATACCAAGTATAGACCCACACATAGACCCATGTATACCAGGTATACACCCACATAGCCACCGTTAGAACAAAAAAATAGCATCTCAGAGTCCCACCCTTATCTTTAACCTTCCAAGAAGACAACTATTATCCTAAATTATAAATCATATGTTGGTTTTTCTGTTTTTGAACTTTTTATAGGGAGAATCATACAGTTTGCATTGCTTGTGCTGTATCTTTTGGATTAGTATTATGTTCATGGGATTCATATACTTATTTACTTATTTACATGTAGACATAGTTATTTTAATTTTCTTTCTTTTTTTGTACCAGGGTTAAACCTAGGGGTGCTTAACCACTGAACTATATCCCCAGTCTTTTTTATTTTTTAGATTTTGAGACAGGATCTCAGTAATTTGCTTAGGAGAGTCGCTAAGTTGATGAGGCTGGCTTTGAACTTGCAATACTCCTTCCTTAGCCTCCTCAGCTGCTGAGATTATAGGAATGCACCACTGCACCTGGCTGGCATAGTTATTTTTAATGCTATGTACTAGGTCATTGTATGAGTATCCCATTTATCCAATCTCCTGTTAAAAGATATTTGCATGGTTTAAAGATTTTTCTATTAAGAATAATGCTGCTTTGAAAATTTTCTCTTTTGGTTTGTATTTCTGAAATACATGTATGTAAGAGTAACACTGCTAGATCATAAGACAGAAATACAATTCGTTTTAAGATATATTTCCAATTTGTCAAGGTATGTTTGTCAGTTTCCACAAGCAGTACCCAAATAGTTCAGTTCTTTATATATAATCAGTCTTTCCAATATTAAATCTTCCATTGGGTGTGATATGAATAGGAATTTTGTTGCTATGTCTGCTAAATGAATTTTTATATATTCTTGTTAATTTGGAATGCTGTTTCATAAAGTATCTGTTTATTTGTTTTTCCTACTTTTTAAAAATTTGATTTTTTAGATTATTTTAATGTATTTTATGTATTTTTATGAGAATTCTTTGTTGGTTATTTGTACTACAAATATATTCTCCCTAATTTGACATGTACTCTAATTTATGAATATTTACCTTAATGGTTATTTTGTCTTTCTCTTCCTTATGCATAACAATAGCATCCTTTGTTATTTTTGAAACCTTTGTGTGTATGTGTGTGCATGTGCACGTTTATGTTTTGTCTTTTACATTTGATGTTTGATTCTCCTTGAATTTACTTTTTTGTAGATATGAGAAAAAGCTCATGAGATATTCTATTTTTCCCTATTTTTTCAGTACCAATCATCTCCATTCCTCTTACAGTGTTTTCCCAAATGACTACGTACTATTTTGGGTTTTATCCAATTGATTCAATGCCATTATGGAAAATAGCATTCTTCTATTCCTTGTCTGCTCTATAATGTTTCTTTTCTCCTAAGTCAAGAATCCATATTTTTGAGAATTTGTGTGGTTTTGTCCTTTGATGCATTTTTATTGTGTTGCATCAAAACCAAATTGGCTTATGTACTATTATTTTATAGTTCTTCATATGTAGTAGTATAAGCACTCAAAGTTTGTGGCTTTTCTCTAGTGTTTTCTTATATCTTCCATTTTCATTTCTACATAAGTGTTAGGATCACTTATAAATTTCCACCAAAAAGTACCTTTATGATATTTTGATTATGATTCATCTTTAACCAAATTAGAAAAAAATTGACATTTTTACAATATTCCTCCTCTTATTAAGGTCTTTTCAAGTTCATCTTAGTGATGTTTCATAGTTTTCTGTGTACAACTTTTGCACATATTTTGGTAGATTTTTCCCTGGATATTTAACATCATTTGGAGGTATTGTTAATGGTATTTATCAATTTGATTTTCTATATTTTTATATGCTATCTAAAAATAAAGTTGATTATTGCATGCAGTTATTTATCAGACTAATTTGTTGATAAGGCAATTTACTAATTCTATTTTTAATTGGGTTTTGGGGGATAATTTTGAATAATATGTTATCTATAAATACCATATAACTGTTTTTCTCCCTTTCCAATCATTACATGTTTAATTTTTTTTTGCCGTACTATCTTTGCATGGGTCTTCAATTAAATATAGAATAGCATGCAACGTGTTGTTCAGTTTTATGGGAAAACCTTCCAACATTTATCATTGGGTACAAGATTTGCTCGATGTTTCTTATAGAAAATTTGATCAGGTTTTGAAGTTTATTTTTATTTCTAGCACTTATGTGTTTTCAAGTTGAACAGATATTTAATTTTTAAGCAATAGATTTCCTTCTAACTTTGGCCTAATCAACATATTTTTCATTTTCAAAGTGATTTACTTTACAAATATTATTTAGAAGTTTACATGAGGCCATTATACTGTTGCTATTCAATGTAGTTTCATTAAGGTCAAAGATAATCCCCTTTGAATTTTTTTGACATTTGTTTATTGGCCAGCATTTAATTAGTTTTTATAAGAATTTCAGCTTGAACATATTGTGTATTTTGTATGTGTCAAATGTTATTTTCCATGGAATTATATTAAACCATGTTTGCTTATTGTGCTTTTCAAGTCATATGTGTTTATTGATTCTTGTTTACAAAGAATTGTTTACAAATTACTACACTAAATTTTTAAAATTTTTACTTATATTTGTATACTCTAACAATTTAGTCAATTTTACTTCATATATTGTTAAGGTTGTTACCACGAGCCTTCACTTGTGCAATTATAATATCTTCATGGCATATTGAAACTTTTATGCCTATGAAATTACTTTTATACCTGGTGATGCTCTGTGTCCTAAGTGCTACTTTGCTTTCATGATTACAGGTATATTCATTTTCTTCTAGTTAATATATATAGCACATTTTTATTTTAACTGATACAAAAAGCATGAAAGTAGTATATATTAGTAGGTACCATGTAATGTTTGATACATGTATATATGGTGTAATGCTTAAATAAGGTAAAATTTATATACTCAAACACTTATCATTTTTTTGTGTTTAATACTTTTCAAATAATTTCTTCTAGCTTTTTGAAATGTATGGTAAAAAATTGTTATTTATTGTCACCATACCATACAGTGGTACCCTGGAGCTTCTTGCTCTTTTCCAACTGTAATTAGTACCCATTGTTGAATCTTTCCTCATTCCTCCACCCCACTTTCCCTGGCCTCTGGTGACCACTATCTACTCTCAACTTCTATGAGATCAGCATTTTTAGATTCACATATAAAGTGAGATCATACAGTATTTATTTTTCCGTGCCTGACTTATTTCACTTAATGTAATTATCTCCAATTATATTCATGTTGCTGCAAATGACATTTTATGCCAGAATAGATTGTGTATATGCACCAAAATTTCATTATCCATTCATCAGTTGATGGACATTTTGGTTGTTTCCATTTCCTGACTATTGTAAATAGTGCTGCAAAGAACATGGGAGTATCGATATCTCCTCAACATCACTTCCATTTCTTTAGATATGTATCCAGGAGTAGGATTAACCTACATTTCAGTGCATTAACTCTCTATTTACATGATCTAATCTGCTATTCAACTTGTCCATTGATTTCTCAACTTTATTAATAGCATTTTTTATTTCTAAATTTTATCCTTGATTAATTTTTAGGTAATTTATAACTCAATTAAATTCTCAATCTGGAACATAGTACATGTAGTTAGTTTTAAATCTGTGTTTTGCACTTATAATATCTAGCACTTCTATGTATGTTTTTATTGTATATGTCTTTATTTTATGTGTGTATGTACATGTATACACAAACACACATATCTTAGTCTATGATGGTATTAATTTTCCCTAGAAAGTATGTATGTTTCTTTGGTGGTAATTGCCAGGATACACTAGCTTTAGTCTACTGAATACTTTCAAGGAAGCTGGGGATCAGAAAAATCAAGTAACAAGTAACAAGGTTACATAGTAAGTGACAGAGCCAGATTTTTAGCTTACTAGTATTAATCTTACCAATACAATTTGCTTTCTCCAATATTATGCTACACAGACCACCAAACTGTAGAACTGCTATTCAAAATGGCCCCTTGAGAACTTGTTGTTTCCCAGTCTAAGCTAGTAATATTTTTGTGATTCCAATTTTAACAAATAATTAGACAATGTAGTATGAGACATTTGATAAATTGTAGAAAGCAAAAATAGATTGAATTATTTTATTCCATTCAAAAATGAGAATGCATCACAACCTATAGAATAGAGTTTACAGTGTCTTATTTAAATATGAGAGGGATATGTGGATTAATAGATCTCTGAAATTTATATTTTAAATGAGAATCCCTATTCACTAGTATCATGTTCAGACTATACCCTTCTAAGCATTGAAATACAAATATCAAGAAAAGGTGTGTAAATTATTTTTGTATATGCATGCATCATGAATGTTTGAAATCTTCCCTGGCAACCATTATAGACCTCAAGTTTATAGTATACAAAATTAGGCTTAATTACTTTAAATCACAGCTAGAAGGCAATGAATCCAGTAACCAATCCTTGTTCTCTTTCTCAAATCCAGTTTATTCACAATCCAATAATTCTGACTTGACAATTGCAATATTCAATAGTAATGTGTGTTCAAGCCAGATACCAGAAATCTCTGGGAATGTTTAAAACTCAAATTGTGATTAACAGTAGCTGAGTGAACTATATTTTGGAATTTCTTTTCTTTTAGTTATTTAAAGTTTTTGTGTCAATTTTTATGTTTGTTCTTTTTAGATATATTTGAATGTATTTTAATATATTATACATACTTGGAATATATATAATAGAGTGTATTTCACCTATTATACATACATGGAATATAACTTATTCTAATTAGGAATTTCTTATGTAGTTGATTTTAATAGGATTTTATTTAGTTATTGGGAATGTTTTGTTTTATAGTGTAAAATTTCAAAACAAAATTTAACTTAAAGTCTTTTCTCTATAGGGATGTACAAAAAATACAGTTTTACTCATCAACCTCATCATCCAAGAAATATGCCAGGCAGAATGATTTTACCAAATATAATAAGACTATTTATGATGTGCTGCTCCACTTGAGTGGAAGAATGCCACCTGGAATTAATTCAAGTCAATCTTTACCCATGGATAACCCTGAAAGAATAACTCAACTTTATTTGCAACATTCCTCACTTCTGGAATTTCTCAAGTAAGAGCATGGATGTGCTTAATTTAAGTTTCTAATTATGGCTTGGAAGGATAGATAGATAAATAGGTAAATACATTGATAGACTGATTTTGAAATTATTTGTATTTTAACCAAATATTTATTGTTATACACCCTGTAATATACATCATAGAAAAATTCATATAAGTTAATAGAAAATAATAATTCCATAATATTTTGGATTTATAATCTAAGGCAGTCATTCTCAAATTTTATTATAATTCATCCAAATCACTGGTAGAACTTGTTAAAACAATTTGCAAGCCCTTACCTATGGAGTTTATGATGTTACTTGGCATTTATAACAAGTTACAAGATAATGCTGATAGTCCTGGTCTATGACCTTATTTTTAAAATTCTTATCTATTGCACATATAAAAAAGCACTGAGCAAAAGAGGAATGAAACCAATAATCTTTGTTTCTCAGATAAGTGTTAATATATTATAGATACTGTGAACTTTTCATTTCCACTAATAAAGTCTTGGATTAAAATAATAGGCAGGCAAAAATTTCACAAATGTTTAGTATAAACCATGGGAGAAAATACTTGTCATCATAACATCTATGTTTCTCTACAGAGATTGAATGGCAAATGGCCAAGAAATAGAAGAGCAGCATATATTAAAAGTCTGAGAGGAGGGCTGCTGAATTTATATTGCTTCTCTTGCCTGCATTTATAGCATCCTTGTTCACTAAAATGCCCTATATCCATAGGCAGTGTTATTACTTTCATATTCTTTCATCACCAAAATACCATTGGTTACTCATAATTATTTATATTATAGTGTTAATTTATCTTGAAATACATTAATGTACTTTTGCATCTTTGTTTATAGAATCTGTCCCACAGTTGGTCAGAGATATTCATCTATCTTATTAAGGATTGGCAATGAAGGTCAAGTAGATTCTTAGAGCTTGAATGCAAATGAAAGATTTGACATTCAGTTCTTTTATTTACAAATCAGGATTTTTTTGAGTCTCTAACAGTACTATGTATTGGACATAGTTCTGAACAAAATATTTTTTTTCATTTGTTAGACTCACTATCATAGTACTAGTTCAAACTGGCTTAGGCTCCTTTTGACTTGCAATAGTGCCAGTAGTTTCTTTTTTTTAAAATTTAATTTAATTTTTTAAATTTTTTTATTGGTTGTTCAAAACATTACAAAGCTCTTGACATATCATATTTCATACATTAGATTCAAGTGTGTTCTGCACTCCCATTTTTACCCCAAATATAGATTGCAGAATCACATCGGTTACACATCCACATTTTTACATAATGCCATATTAGTAACTGTTGTATTCTGCTACCTTTCCTATCTTTTACTATCCTCCCTCCCCTCCCCTCCCAGCTCTTGTACAATTGGGGCCCTCTTTTAAAATAATAATGGATTCATGGTTTTAGAAGGTATCATGAATGTAAAGAAGCCTGGAGTTGAAGCTTTATTTACTTGGCAGTGAATTTACATTTACATCTTCCCAAATGCCATCTTGAATTAGAGATGTGATGCTGAAAATTTAAGTATTTATCAAAAGAACAGAATTACCTTAACAAAACGGTAGTGGTTTAAAACAAAAAAAGGCAAAGATATATGAAGATGAAAGTTTTCATTTCCTCTCTATTCCTCTATACATAATCTAGGTGAGAGAATGAGAGATATTATATCAGTTATAGAAAAATAGCCCAACTGGAATTATGTAAATCATTTTTAACTTCACTGCCTCATCATTGGGACAGTCAATCTCACTAATTTATGAGCATCTTAAGAGCAGGAATCACATCTAATTCATCTGGTGTCTTTAAAGCCCAGAGTCAAAATGAGGTCAATGTCCACTAAATTTCTTTCTTTCTTTCTTTCTTTTGTTTTTAAGGTACATCTTTTTTTTTAAAAAGAGCATTATAGTCATCCATAGTAGTTTGGTTCATTTTGACAAAATCATACATGCATGGAATTTAGTTCACTCCATTTCAGTCCCCATTCTTCACCCCCAAAGGCCAAGATCAAAGTTTCACCAGGTTTTATTTTCTTCAGAGAGCAGTCTGCTTACCTTGCCAAGGACCTCTTCTTACTGTATCCTCAAATATTCTTTCCTTTGTGTACATATGAATCTAGTGTTTCTGTGTGTTCAAACTTCATCTTACTATTAGGACATCAACCATATTGGTTGACGAATGTAAAAAGAAATCACTGTAATGATTTCTTTTTACATTCGTCACTTCTTTAAAGAACCTAACTTAAGTAGGAGGTGCTGGAGTTTATGGTTTTAACATGAATTTTGGGGGACAGACAACTACAATACCATATATGTTGTATTATAAAAATATTATGTAATCAGACATTATATTTTATAATAGATTTCATGAGTATATTTGTAATAATCTTCTTATTTTTCTTGTAATTTGTGCCTTTATGGACTAAGTTGTGCCCCATTCCAAATTCACATGTGGAACCCCTAACCCCCAATATGACTGCATTTGGAGATAAGACTTTTAAAGAAGTTATTAAGGTTAGACTCTGTCATAAGTTTGGGGTGCTAATCTGGTAAGAATGGTATCTTTATAAGAGGAAGAAGAAAGTCTTTCTCTCAAAACTCTTATGTAAAGACACATTGAAAAGGTGGCCATCTATAAAGAAAATAAATTTCTGTTTTAGCTACTCTGCCTATTGTATTTTGTTAGGGAAGACCACAACAAAGATTAATATTCTTTGATATAATTTTGCTTATTTGTGATTAATAATTTTATAACATGATTCATTTTAATTAGAAAAAATAAATTTTATTTATAATTTGCATATTTTAAAACTAAAACAGAAGCATAGTATGAATAAAATGTGTCCCATATTCAAACTATAAAGTAAGACATTATAAGAATATAAAATTACTATAACTTATTTTTTAATTCCATTGAGTTTTCAAATAAATAATCCATTCACCAAAAATAAATACATTTAGAAAAAGCAACTCACATCCCTTATAGATAACTTTAATTCCACTTGTGGTTTTTATTTTTATTATCTTTAAAAACTTCATACCCTTTCTTCTAATGTATAAACATTATATAATATTATTTAATATAATTGAATCAAAGAATGAATATATTTCAAGCAACAATCTAATACATGATTCTGCAAGAGTACACTGAACTGAGCTAAAAGAACATGGTTTTTTAATCAAGTAGATGCAAGCTTTATATTCTAGGTCTTTTGTGCCAATGTGACCCTGTACAAGGTCAAAATCTGTAAATTCAAGAATAATAATTCCCAAAGTTATATGATTAATAAAACAGTTATAAGTAGTCAAATACACATTACATGACATGGTATATTATAACTATTGTTGATTTAAATGCAATGCAGTATGCTCTAAGGTTTTATTCTTATATTATTCCAATATAATTAGTCATTAGTGATATTTTGAGAACTGTCTAGAGGTGATATCATTGTTGCTAAAATAGTTTTTTATTAAAAAATACTTTTCTATTAGAAATGAATATCCTATTGACATGAAAATGTCAAAGAACCAGTATTTATCAAATATTTCCTCACATTAAATAGATATGATGGGAGAAACTTTGTTGAAATTCTTATGTTTAAAATATAAAGCATACAAATTTTCTTTTGATTTTTCATTTCCTACTTTTGATCCTTAAAGATTGATCAAATGAGGTAAGCCCAGTAATTCAATCAGGTAAAAATTTAGATGCATTAATTTCTGCAAGGTATTTGTGTGGTTAAAATCTAATGAAATGTAAAACAGGAGCAAAAGAAGTTTTAAATACTCATGTAAATCCTTATGATATGTATGTTTTTGAAATTAAACAATTTTGTGATAGCATTATTATACTTTATGGTACTTATGAATATTGTGTTATTTAGTTGTATTCTTCTTGGCATATCTGCCAGTAGTGTTGACATTAACAGGAGTTGTTTCTGTTTTGACATTTTATGATGTGAAGATGCAAGCATGGAAGAATGATTTTGGCATTAAAGCTAAGCCATTCAGATTTATTTGTTCTTTATCAGCAAATACATGCCTATAAGGTTATGTTGAGTGTGATAAAATTACTTAACATTTAGAAAGCGGCAGTATGGTTAATAAAATGGGGTCATTAATTCAAGATATGTGTATGTGCTTTATGCTGGAAATAAATGTATTAAAATTCAAAATAGTCATAAATGCTATTAGCTTTCCAATTAAATTTGATGACATAGTGGGTGAGGACTTTTACACGAGTTAAATATCACTTTATGCAATATATAGAAATTAATTCTTAAAGATTTTTAGAATTTTTTTACAAAGCTAATTTTTGAAGATTAAGCTTTGAATTTATAACTCATGGCATGTGAATTTATTTTGAACACTGTAAATGTGGAAATACATTAGAAAAACCTAGTGTGTAAAAGCGTAACAGAATAAATTATTAATGACAATTCTCTAGTAAAAGCTACCTACCAGATAAAAAAATCTACTGAAAAACGTAAAGATAATACTGTCTTATGGATTCATGAAAGCAGGCCTTGAGATAGATTCAGAATAAAAAAAAAGAAAAAGAAAGCAAGTATTGATTATATTTTTCACCCTGAACTTTTACCAAGGTCTACTTTCTGCTACACACTATATAAATACTCAAATGAATGACATATGGCCCCCTTCTCAAGAAACTTCTGTTTTAATGGTTCCCTCATCATTTTCCTTAAGCTCTCAATAGCATTTGATAGAAATAATCACTTTCTTCTGAAATCCTGTCTTGGGTGCTGGAATGTTCTCAGTGATTGAGCATTTGCCTAGCATGTGCTAGGCTCTGGGTTTCATCCCCACCACCACACACTGCACGCACACACACACACACAGACAAAACAATAAAACAACAATGAAAGCAACAACCCTCATGTGAAATCCTGTCTTGGCTTTGGTTATAAGAAAGTATTCAGTTTCTTCATATGTTTCTGAGTGGTCTGCCTTTGTTGCACTGTACAGGATTTCCAACTAATAGGGACATTACCTCATTGCATTCTTATGTAGGCTTTAGGTTGATAGTACCTGCTGAGGAACAGTGTTATATTAAAATAAAATTTTGTGTACTACTCTAATAACTCAAACATAATGATCATTTGTACATGAGGATAGGAATTGTGTGACAATCAAAGAGAAAGAATGATTGATTTCCAAACAAAGGAGCATCGAGTAGGCAGTAGATTTCCTCCACTAGCTTAGACTGACCCAGTGCCACATCACACTGAACAGCTGCAGAACTCTGCCCCCTGCTTCTATGCCAACAGAAGTTTCCTTCTTAACATCTCTCATCTCTTTCATCTCTCTATCTTCAGGATTTGAGTTTTCAGCATCATCTTTAAGCCTCTTTTCTCCTTTTTCTTTTCCTCGATTTTCAGTAATCAACTGTAAAGTACTGAATGTGCCTCCTGAATTAAGCACTATAGAGGTTCTTCTCTGTTAAATCCATTATTGATGAGTGGAGGTGTATGTTCAATAAATGAGTTGGATCTAAACTCCCAAATCTTTTTTTGGAAACACTTTTCACAAAACTGTACTGGGTTTCTGTAGTGGCTCTGGTGATTATAGACATTAATATGAAGAGTTAACATAAAATTATCTTTAAAACTTTAGAGTACAAAAGTATATATACATATATAAATCTTAATGTAGTAAGTTGTATACATATATGCATTCATTATTTTAACTGTATTATATAACATATTTACTGCTTCAGATATACATCACACATTTGCATAATAAAAGATTTCCCAATATTTGCATACTCCTTTTGGAGAAAAAATAGGTTATGGATTACTTTATATTTGGAGTTTTCTATATTCAGACCTGTGTTCTGATAGCCATTCAATAAATACTAGATGACTAATGATCTATTACTAGCTTTGTGGTAGTCAAAATTTTTTCAGATTTTTAAAAAAATTCTGTAATGTTACAATGACAGTAAAAAGGTTACTGCACTGACTACAAGGACCAAGTCATATGACTCTTAATGTTTGGTTAGCTTATATGCATAGACAATCTGATTATAGTTACTTTGTAAGTTCTTACTCATTAATCAGTTTCTTTAAAGGAAACATCATTTCATTATTAAGGGAAGTTTTAAAAATTAATAATACAAATTTTAAATTTGAAAATTAATTCAACAAATATAAAAAGTATGACATTAGAATAATTTAACTGAAAGTCAGTACAAATGTGTATTATAATATCATAATTTGGGTTTTCTTTTATAATCTTAGTGCTCAGGGAGGATGTATTTCTCATGTACTGCCAGAATTTCTGCTTGAACCCCAAGATTATAAGAAGTGGCTTGAAATATCAGTAAGAGAATATAATTTCTAGAACCAATCTATATGTATTATTAAATGTATGGATATTTGGATTTTTTTAAAGATTTCATTTTAGAGTTCAGATTTTTATGTATAAAATATACTAAGGTTTAAGCTTCTTTAGACAGATGATATTTTGTATGTCTCTACATTGATCTAAAAATATGTGATTCCTATGCTAGATATTCCTAGATAGCTTTTCATTGCTTTGGAGGGGGATTTATAAAGGAAAAATGGTGTGAACTTATGTAATTTGTGTTCTTAAAATAAAATTTTAGAATGTATACATTCCAAAGAAAAAGTTTCAAATGACAATTTTACCACCACTTGTTACTTCCTTTCTTCTGAAACAGGGGAGAATAGAGAGAAGTTAAGCAATAAATGCATAGTTTTCTTAAAGTAGACAATTCACTTGATGAAAACCTATATAGAAAGGGAATTGATTTTGAGGATTTTGAAGGCTTTTAGGTAAATGTGCTTTAGTTGTGTCACTGTCACTATGCTTACAATATGACATGAGAAGAAAAGCAGGTACCTGTTGTTTAGCACCATGCTGAGTTCCTCTAGCTAATCCAAAGGGTGTGGCTTCATCTGATCTCAGGTTTCAGGAGAATTTTGCATCTTGTTCTGCTACTTCTACTACAGAGTGAGCTAATAAATGCATTGGGTGAATAAATCTATCACCTAAACAAGGGACTGTATGCTCTGGAAAGTTACCTGTGTTGATAGTTTCTAATATTGGTACATGGGAAATTAGAGCTCTTGATGAATATATAAAAAGGGCAAGAAAATTTGCTGTTAAAAAAATGTTGAGTAGTTAAAATTTTAGATGTATATTGCCTTGCATTTTAATTCATCTTGTAACATTTTGTTTCCTAAAGTCTTCCAGTAATAGCACACCTCTGAGTTCCTGTGCATCTAAGGAAAAGTGTTCTGTTATTATAGATATGGATAAGTTTGAGGACTGGAGTAAACGGGCATGGACAGATGTATTTCTTCAAATATACAAGGTAATACTTCCACTCTTATTTGCTGCTCTTTTTCAGTTAATTCACATGACTAGTGTTAAATAGTGTTATTTAAAGTGTAAGTAATGCTGTTATAAAAGATTTAAAAATACAGTGGCTTAAGTAAGATAGTTTTTTTTTTCTTCTGTATAAATATTGAGAAATGAGTGATTTGGAGCTAGGAGTTTTCCTTCCATCCCCACTGCTAGGTTTTCATCTATGGGTCTAATTTCTCAGAACAAAGAGTAGGTAAAGGAGTAATAGAGGGCAGGGAGATACCTTTAAAGGATGTCACCTGAAAAATGTGTCATTTCCCTTTTCACATACTGTTGTGAATTTAGTCATATCAACATGGGTATCTTCAAGGAAAGTTGAGAAATATAATCTCTGGAATGGGCAGCTACAAGCATATTCTGGTATTAACTAGAAGACCTAAATAGACAGTACTGAAAATTATATTTTATGCCTTTATACACAGTACACCATGAAGTTTTTCTGGAGTGATACTTATTAGGATTCACACAGCTGAAGCCAAGTCCAGTTTTAATGAGATTCTCAAAATTTACTTCTAGCAAAATTACATTTATAGATAGATGAACATACATTAAATTATGCCTTCCAACTCTGATTTAGTCAGCTTTTTCACTGCTGTGACTAAAACATCTGCCTAGAACAATCTTAGGATGAAACGCTTATTTGGTGGCTCATGGTTTCAGAGGTCTCAATCTACAGACAGCAGGTTCCATTCTTTCCCACTCATAGAAGGAGCAAACCTAAAGCCAAAGAGTGGCAAATTCACTACTTTTTGGGAAAATTAAACATAATGTTGGCTTATGAATTTTATTTACTTATTCATTCACACAATCATTTGTATATTTAATTTGTTTAATCCATCTTTCCCAATCAATTATCTATGTGGATTTAGATATCAGGCATCACTTGTAAATGCAGAATTTAATAGAATGTCAGGTACATAATATATTCTCAACAAATATTTTTGAATGAATTTATTCAACAACTATTGTGGCCGAGGCTCTATACCAGGCTCAGGGAATATATGAGTAAAATTGATATGATCTGTCTTCTCAAAGAGTTTAAGCCTTGGAGGAGGTTATAAGCAACTAAATGAATAATTAGAAGGAAATGAACAAATGCTAAGACAGGGAAAGACAAAGAAACTACAAATGAGTTCACATAGAGAGGAGCATAAATTTGAGGGCATTGAACTCTTAAATATGACTAGGAATTTGCTAAGCAAGGTGAGACAAACTTGGAGAGAGGTAATATAATTTGTGTGAAGGGAGTGGTAATGGCACTTAGTAAAGCAAGGTAGGGCAAACTTTATTTGGAACCGGTAGGATATGTACAGGGACCACTGCAGTGTGATTTTCTAATAGCAAAGAAAGATTGGGCTCAATTCTGAGTACAGCATGGGAAAGTGGAAATTCATAGTAAAAGAACAAGATGGAGTCAGCTAGTAGATAAAGACTATGAGGAAGAATCAGCAGCAAGGGGGGATTCTGGTTAAACCAGCTCAACAGGATTCTTGCTTAAAACAGGCCAGGGTGATTAAACATCTCCTGGGGAATGGTGAAAGATTCAGAACCAAGTCAGATGTCAACAGTGATCAGACATTGAAGGTGGGAGATCAGTCCTAAGCGGATTTAGCAGGGGAGTTAGTAAAACTGGATTTTACCAGATAGTCACAAATTGCCTAAAAGAAAGTTCAGGAGCTTGACTAAAGTTTGCTCAGAGAAAGAATTTTTGCTACTACATAAGCCAATCTAAGGAATCTGGACTTTTTAGATATTATGCTGAGATTGTACAGAACTATTGAAGGGTTGTAAACACAAGGGTGACATGATAAGCTTTGCTTTCTAGAGATATCACTGTGGTACAATATGGAAACTGTTGGGGGATGTGTTTCAGCATCAGGTGCTATGACCCAAATGGGAATTCTGGTGGTAGTAGGAATGATGAGGCAATGGCAACTTTAATGAATATTACAAATAAAACTCAATAGAGTCTTCTGAATGGCTAGATCTTCAGAATTGATGGAATCAGAGAAGTCAAAAATAACTGTGGAATTCTTGCTTGGATACTGAGAGGAGTTCAAATCTAGTCCCTGAAATACAAGACAAGAAAAAAGAACCGGATTTGGGAGGGGAGGCAGAAGGTGTGACAGGGCAAGAAGACATGGTAAATTAATTTTGTTCCTGTTGTGTTTGAAGAGCCCTGCATAATTATCAGAGTGGCATATTCATTAGTCTGGAGAGATCTGGTGGCAACACAAATTTGGGATTTTTCATTCATCCTATGGTAAAGTTATAGGAATGAATAAAACTATCTGCAGAGCTGTATTTCTCCATAAATTGTGTCTAAAGCATGGGTAACTCCAGACACTAGATTAAATTAGAAATGAATTGGTGATTTCACATGAAAAAAGAAAACAATGTTGTTTAGATACGTTTCACAGGTTAGAAATGAAAGGTTCTGATTTTCACAAGTCCTCTTAGGTTCTGACTATCATATTCCTTGAACTCGTGCATGTATACTAGGACTACATTTTTCATTTCTTCTTATCTAATAGTTAGAAACAGGATATAGGTTATTTTGCCCAATTTGATAGTGTGTCATTTATTACTTCTCTGTGTTAAACCTGCATTTTGAATTATAGCTATTTTCCTGCATGATATTCACAAGTCACAAAAAAGTATTGGTGGCTAAATATTGGATTACTGAAACATACGAAAGTGAACTAACAGAACCAACAGAAACACTTAAAGTCAGAATGTTGTTCTAAATGTTAATATAAATAAGGATCTCAAATGAATATTAAGGATGACTCTATATGTGCTAAAAGATATGAATGTGATGTGTTTACAGAAGACTGAAAAAAAAAGATCAGAAACAAATATCTGAATAATTTTTATCAATTCATTTATTCATTTGTTTCCAGTGCATTTTCTGTTATAAGGTCTTTTTTAAAAATAGTAGCATGATTCTATCAAATATTTTGGTATTTTCAGACAAAGAGTAGTAGTCTTTCTGACTAAACCTTTTTCTCAAATTGATTCAAAATTTGTATAATATAATATTGGAATATTTGTTGCTGAAGGTGGACAAGATGACAAATCTACAGTCATTATCCAGAATTGCATTTGCATTTCCTAGGTACCTAGTACAGTGATAACCACATGACTCATTTTTATTTTTTTTAGTTTTTAATAGTTTTTCTTCATTCTCTTGGCATGTGACTGTTGTCTCTCCTGCTTTTTATTGCTGATATCAATGTGCCTACTTATAGTAGTTCATTTTCCTATTTTGTTTTGTTGTGGTCTAAGAAACTAGATATGCAGACTTATTAAACTTTTCTATAAAATAAAAGCAAATAGACTCTGACTTCAAGTACACAAATATTTATAAATTAAGAAGGAA